GCTTTTCTCCTGTTAATCTGCCTTTGTCGGTTTAATTTTTAAGCCTAGCCAGGGACCCTAAAGGAATCAGGAAAACTTTTTTTTCTACCTTATCTTATAGTAGCAAGTGAAAACCTCTACTTCAGGATGCACACAGATATTTCAGGATACTTTCTAGCTGCACAATCTGGAATAAATTTCTTAAAATCTCTGAGACTCCATTTTCTCCTCTGTAGCACGGTGCCAGTAATACCTGTTGAGGACTTGTGAGAGCTTTGCTACCAGTATCATAAGTTGCAGACCAAAATTTGGATTTTTGCAGCTTGAACTCTGAAATTGCTTGCAGAACATAACTTTGTTCTTTTAGGCTCTGAAACTGTCTGCAGAGCCTTCTATGCTTATTGTACTGTTTGTTAATAATACTCTGTAAATAATTGTGTGATCAAAGACAGCCTATTTATTCTACAGGCCTGGCTGACACTAGGACTCTGTAAGTGCTTAATTATATATTACCCATTGTTCTCACTTCACAGTCCCAACCCCACCAGTTTGATCAGTCACCCAACCATTGAAAGTTCAATTGCCCCCACCAATCAGAAAACAAATTATGTAAATAATTTGCCCCCACCAATCAGAAAACAAATTATTTCCCCTAGCAACCCATTTCTTTAATCAACAGTTCCTTTGTAAACCTGGCCCTATCCCCTCCATTTTGAACATATGCTTGGTTCATACTGAAGACTGACTACATGTCCCATTTTGCATATCGTTACCTGAATATATTCTCTAAATTTCTTTAGAAAGGTATCTCCAGATTTTTGTTTACACTATTTCCCTAATATATATACATATATATGGAAGTCTAGCATGACGACTAATCTATAGTACATGCTCAGTTTGTATCCTTCTTCCTTCCTTGCTCATTACCTATTCTTGTGACTAGAGGAGATGCAAAAGTAAGTAAATGCTTGCATGAATTTACTTATACTATTCTATTTGTCTATACATCATACAGTTCTTTCTGGATACAACTAAAGCAATGGAAGTCAATGTTTGCTGTTAATTTCATATGGTTATAAACCTACACTTACCCATGTCGTTCTACTTTAGCACTAGCATAATTACTTTGCAAATTTTCTTCTCCAATGGAAGGTGCAGGGATCATTTTGGAATTCCAGAAGGATGATTATAGGGCTCTCTGAAATCACTGTGGGAAAACTACATGAGTTAAGAGCTTTAAAACACCAAGATAACATATATAGACAGAGATGAACAGACCCTATGTGTTTTAAGGATTGAAAAGGAAAGCTACCCAATCTCTAAATCAGATTCCTGGAGAGGGAAAGAAGAAAGACTGGGTTTCAAATGCTGAAATTAGCTGACTACAAACCTAGAGAGGGTATTAAACATGCGGTGCTTATTTGGGGTTGTGCTTAGCTCTAAACAAGTGGGATCATCTGCCCTCAGAAAACCTTGCTGACCTATACATTCTACTTGAACAAGATGATCATTCTAGCACCATAAGCCAATGCAACCACACCATGTGACAGTGAATGAAACAGACTCTGTGTTTTGGAATGTATTTGGGAGTCCATAGGCCTAAATAAATATTCTTAGACAATTCAGGGGAAGAGAGAGGTGTGTTCTTAGTAAGGTGTTGGAAAACAACAATCTCCCCACCCTCCACACACATCCTGAATTTGTGGGAGAAATCATTTTGATTACATATCTATAGTTATATAACGATTATAGAGTATCACAGATTTATCCCATTATCCCCAATTCTTGATGGTGCCATTATAAAGAAAAACAAAAGCAAAACTCTCCACCTCAACACACCATTTCAGAAACCCCTTTCTTCCTCACTCTAATCACCTCCTATGACAGCTGCTCTTCATCTCTGCTGGTCCTGCACTTATATTTCTGTTCATCTCTTTTCCACTTCCATTCTTCCTTGGGACTCATCTCATTGCATATAATCCCTGACCTTGAGATTTCTGGGACCAATTTTAGGCTCCTTTGCTTTAATCACAATCCTTATTCACCAGGCTTTTTGGCTAACTCCTTCCTTTTCTGAACCTATAATTCCTCCCCCTTCCCATCTTATCCCACCAGTTCCTGTGCTGATATTTTGTTTCTTTTCCCCCCTTTCATCAGGGACTGGGGATCTCCTGAAACCTGAGTACTATTTTGCTTTCCAAAAGTTCAACCACACAGGATGGTCTGATCAAGTTTCTAACTGAGCAGGTCATGGCAGGTAGTCATCTTAGGGCCTATAGCCTCCTAAGCAAAGGGCACTCTTTACCTTAAGTGAGCTCTGTCCATGGTTCTTAAGCATCTAGGACAGCAAGCCTTTGAAATGTCACAGTACTTTTCTTTTCCTACCCGTCAAAGTCACACCACAGGCATCAGACTCAAGGCCACCAGAGCACAGGACCACAGAACCCCTCACTGTTATCTTGTTCCCTGCATACTATCTCTATATGCTGCGAATCTTAATTAACTATCCTGTACCCACCAAGGTAAAAGTGTTTTTCCATTTTGCCTTTTATCCAGTCCTGTTATATGCTTCCTCCCATTCCCTTAATCTACCACCAGTGGATTTCATGTACCTTTTCTATGTCTTATCCTTTTATTCAAATGTATAAAATAAGCTGCAAAACTGCCATTCTCCAGAGAATCTGAGATCTTGCTCCCTGGCATATGCCATCAGTTTACCTTCAGTAAACGCATAAAAATTTTCTACAGGTTTGGATGTTACGTCAACAAAATACTTTTTGTTTAAATTTTTATTTCTTCTTTTTCCCTCTCCTCTACCTCCTCTGTTCCTCATGTTCCTTCTGCTCCTGCTATTTTTCTCTCGTTTTATTTTATGTATTATAGGATTTCAGAAATTTTACCAGAAAGTATTTTTATACCTTTTGGGGACCCACATAAAAAAATAACTCATATATTCATCATTCATAGATTGCTTCAGCTGCCTGAAGTTGCATGATCTTATGTATGAACTAAATGATTTTTTTAAATATATTTTATTTATTTTCCACAGAGAGGAAGGAAGAGGGATAGAGAGCTAGAAACATCGATGAGAGAGAAACATCAACCAGCTGCCTCTTGCACAACCCCTACCGGGGATGTGCCCACAACCAATGTACATGCCCCTGACCAGAATTGAACCTGGGACCTTTCAGTCCGCAGACCGACGCTCTATCGCTGAGCCAAACCGGTTTTGGCTGAACTAAATGATTCTTTATCAGGACATGGGTGGTAGTTGCTTAGTCAGATATGATACAAAGCCATACAACCGGTCATTAGGAAGACTCCCTATTTTAAAGACCTATTTGTTTAATCTTGGCTTCATAAATTCCCACTTACCACAGGTTTTACTTTTTGAAATGTGAACACTTTCCCAGTAATAATATACCTATATTTTAGTTTAATAATCAATTTTTCTGTCATTTTAATATGTTGTTCAAGAGTACAGATGAAAGAGAAATTTAAATAAATCTTAGGAATACCACATCAAAATCAGTGATACTACTTAAAATGTTCACTTATTTGGATATGAAATCTTGATTGGCACAGTTAATTCTTCTCTTTAGTTATACTTATTTTGATTAATTTATCATTTTTGTTAATATTTTAAAATTTATTATGACTATTATTAGCATACAGAAAAACAGGAAAAAGCACATTTAATTCAACTTTTAAACTCTGCAGCTTTCCTTTGGGCTTTGTCTCAAATTCTTTCATTTTTTTTTAATTAAGAATAGTCAAATATGTTATTTTCCTCTGTTTTCTTTTATTTTCTAAATAAAACCTAAAAAAAATTATCAATCACTTTGTTATGGCCTGAATTGTGCACCCTCCCCCCCTCAAATGCATATGTTGAAGTTTTAACACCCAGTACTGTGTTTGACTTTAAAGAAGTAATTAAAGTGCAATAGGTCATGTAAGTGGGCCCTAATCCAATATCCTTACAAAAAAGAGGAGACTAGGACACAGACACACACAAAGTTAAGACCATGCATGGAAAAATACAGGAAGAAGAAAGTCATCTTCCATCCAAGGAAAGAGATCTTGGGGGAACAGGGGGCGGAATCAACTCCGCTGACACCTTTATCTTGGATTTCTTTCTAGCCTTTAGGAAAAGGTAAGTGAGATGGCATATTTCTGTTGTTTGAGCCACCCACTTATTTATGACAGCCCTAGCAAACAAATACACTGTAACATTTAATAAGTCTCTGAAATTTTTCTAAAGATCGATTTTCACAGATGTAAAATGAGTATAATACCTACGCTATAGGGACGTTGTGAGAATTAATATAGTAAACATTAAGTACTCTAGCTGTTATCCTCATGAAGGTTAAATGAATTTATGCACAAAACGCAACAAAACGGCAACTTTTTTTTTTTTTTTTCCTCCCAAGATTCCAACTCTGTGCTGCAAAAGAGGACGGGGGGAGAGTAGTCTGAATTGGGTTATGAGGCCCCCTGGCGGAGTGCCTCACCTCAGCCATTGAACTCACTTGGCCGGCCGTGAGTCTGTTCCAAGCTCCGCTTGAGGAGGCATCCGCCAGGCCCCTCCCGGGGGCGGGGTCCGTGGCATCTCCTGCCCATTCTGCCCTCGCGCGGAGACCCGTTCTCTGGGAACTCACCTCCCCGCAGCTCAGGGAGAGCCCTGTTAGGGCTGCTCTTGGCCCCAGTCTCAGACCTTCCCAGGGGACATGGGGTGGAGTGACGAGGTGCACTCAGCGCGTAGCCCCACCAATGAGCTTCCCTCCGCCCTGAGGAAGGGGAACTCACATGGCGGCTATATAAGGCCCCCTTCCATGAAGGCCTTTCACAGTTAGGGTGACTTCCCATGATACATAGCGACATGCAAATGTGGATGGGTCTGCCTTCCCGGTCCCTGTAGGCAACTTCTCTCCCGAACGCGCGCTCGCGCCGAGTGTTCCCGCCTTTTGACTCCAGCGGAGCGAATCCGGGGTGCGGGCGGATGACGTCAACAGTGCGGCTCCATGGCGGCGCGGCGGCGGCTGAGGGGGACCAGCGGCTGCCGTCGGGCGTCAGGTTCGGAGATCGTTGTTGGGGGGCGGAATGGCGGGAAGTGGGGGACGGAACGGCGCCTCCTACTCTGGCCCCTCCCCCTTTTGTGGTCCCCGCTCCCGCTCTTCGCTGCCAAACTAGTTTTGGTAATAAAGGTACAGGAGGATTTCGTTTTTCAGAGCTTTTTTTAATTATAGAACTGTGGGCCTAACAAAGTGCCAGCTCTATCGGATATCCGTCTAATGGCATCCGACCAACACAAATTTAATTGTAAGATGCATTATTGTTTTATGTAACAGTAAGAACGGAAAAACGCTTCCGGTTAAAACATGATTCATGGTTTATATGCCATCCACGGTAAGATGCGAGTCTCAGCGTTGGTTGTTGATCTTTATTCTCTGTGCTACATATTCTCAAGTGCATGGTCCCGCCCAGCAGGTTCGGTATTATTGTCATCCTGTGGGTTTTGCATTTGGGGTAACTGATGGGATAGCTTCTGCAAAGTTCCACAGCTGAGAGACAGCTGGGCTCAGCGCCACACAGACTCACTCCAAAGGGCTTTACTAAATGCTATCTCATTCCAACACAGGTATTTTAGTGATAGGCATTGGGGGTAACAAGTAAACAGAACCGATAAGCAAGCCCTCAGACGCATGACTCAGCCTGTGAACTCAGAGCCCCATGGCTCCCTTTTAAACAACTGCTAGTCAATTATTTAAAAGGTAGATTTAAGCATCGGCAGTTGTGACTCAACCTTGACTCCTGGCTCAATACTGATGGCAGTAACCTGCTCAACAATCTCAGAAGGGCTGTGCAAGTCTGTGAGTCTCCTGTGGATCCTCACCTAAAACCATCCCAAATCTTAGAATTCCTCCCAAACGGAATTTTTCTTGTGATTTTCAGGGTTTTGGTAGGCATCTCAACCAGTCCTTTCACCTTGAGATTCTTTCCTTTGCACTTCTGATCAAGTCAGCACACTCCTTCTCCTAAGACGTTCCCTTGGGGCTGGTTATGAAGCACAGCCGCCTCTGGTTCCACGGGTGCCTTTGTGGAATCTTTAAAAGCCACAGCTGTGGTGGGGTTTCCTGACTGACTTGTTGGAGCCAATAGTGGTGATAAGGAGCAGGGGTGGGCAGGATGGTGCTCTGGTGCAGCTGCAAAGAGCCTTTTATGTTACTTTTTGATTTGGCTAGAAGAGCAATTTCAGAAGCGATTGCTCAGACTGTAATCAACAGTTGTCATTATTTCTTTGTAACCTTACAAAACCATCCTAAACCATTCCCTTAAAAAGGCGGTGCTTTTTCAAAGTAGGATTATATTCACTGTACACTCATTCTTTGTTTTGCTTCTCTGTCTGCCCATTCTTGCGCTTAGCTTCTAAAGCACCAAATGAAACCGACAATACAGAAGACTCTCCTCCTGCCAAGAAAACTCGAAGATGCCAGAGGCAGGAGGTGAAAAATGAACCTGTGCCTGGAGGAAAGGCTGATAAGGACCGAACAGAAGACAAGCAAGGTCAGCCTCCTGTGGGAGGCCAGGGAGGACATGGGCCAGCCAGAGGGCTCTGGGGGGGTAAACGTGGAGGATGTTCTATTCTTTCAACTCTCATTTCTCCAAGGCACAATAACTTTTTATCTTTTGAGCTTACTATATCTTAGAACCTTCAGTTTCATGATTTTTAAAAAAAAATACATTTTATTGATTTTTTTTACAGAGAGGAAGAGAGAGGGATAGAGTTAGAAATATCAATGAACTGCCTCCTGCACCTCCCTACCAGGGATGTACCCACAACCAGGGTACATGCCCTTGAGTGGAATCGAACCTGGGACCCTTCAGTCTGCAGGCTGACGATCTATCCACTGAGACAACCTGGTTAGGGCCAGTTTCATGATTTGAAACAGATTGAGGCTTGGGCAGATCAGGATTGCTTGGGAAGGACAAAGTTAGTTATGAAAAGTTTCTTTCTAACCAGTTTGATTCCCATACAAGTAGACATAGTACATGCCTGTCTTTCCTCAGAGTCTGTGAAGACCTTGCTGTTAAAGGGCAAAGCTCCCGTGGACCCAGAGTGCACCCTAAAGGTGGGGAAGGTAAGAGTCTCCTCAACCCATTGATTTCTCAGAGAGCAGTGTTCTATTGTTATTGGGATTCTCACTGGAACATTGCTAGTCTTTATTTTACAAATCCTCACTAAAATATTACTAGTGATTCATTTTCTGCAAGGCTACATGATATTGGGAGTGGTGGTGTTAAGGATTAATAATCAGGTTATTAATAAATCAACCTGATTAACTTATGGGGCTGTCATCAGCTTTCCATACATCATTCTTTTTCAGTTAGAAAATTATATCATTGTCAAGGGAAAAACGAGAAACTATGCCCTGGAATGGCATGAATTACTGAGAATAGGTTTTCTTTAACTGAGAATCATTTGTATTGTATTTATGTAATTATAGAAAGGCACCATGTTTGTTTGTTTTTAAAGTATGTTTTTATTGATTTTAGAGAGGGGGAGGGAGAGGAATAGAGAGAGAGAAACATCAATCAACTGCCTCCTTCATACCCTCTACCAGGGATCTATGGGGGATCGAGCATGCAACCCCGGGCATGTGCCCTGACAGGGAATTGTATAAGTGACCTCTTGGTTCATGGGTCAATGCTCAACCATTGAGCCACCCTGGTTTTTATTATAGGAATGACAGCTTATATGTGAAAGAAGATACTTTTGCATTTCTTTCCCTGGAAGATGGATGTTGGTAGTGCTGGAGAGTGACCTTTTATGCCTTATGCCTTGGGCATTATGCCTCATTTAGGATCTCATCAAGACTATACAAATGTCAGTTTCTTCTTTTCTCTCTAGGCCCATATCTACTGTGAAGGGAATGATGTGTATGATGTCATGTTAAATCAGGTAAGGAGAGAAGCCATTCTAAAGGAATTTCTTCTTGACAGTTATTGATGACAGTGTTCCAATGACCAGATCATTAATTCTGGAGTCACTTGTGTTAGGCACATACTCTTTAAAGTAGGATAAAGTCTACCTGATAGCAGAGTCCTCAATAAGAAGCAGATTTTAAATATATATATATATATATATATATATATTTTTTTTTTTTTTTTTTTTTTTTTTTTCAGAGAAGAAGGAAGAGGGAAAGAGAAATAGAAACATTAATGATGAGAGAGAATTATTGACCAACTATCTCCTGCACACCCCCCACTGGGGACAGAGCCCAGAACCTCTGCATGTGCCCTTGGCCGGATTCAAACCTGGGACCCTTCAGTCCACAGGCCAATGCTCTATTCACTGAGCCAAACCAGCTAGGGCAAGCAGATCTTTTTGCAGGTTTCTTGTCTTTTATTGAACCTCTGAACTCTGTATTCATATCATTTTGCACATTTCCCTACAGGTTGTTGGTCTTTTTCTTACTGGCTACAAGGAACTTTATATAATATGAGAATAGTGTTTCAACTATAACAGCAATTTTCAACCTCCTTAATCTCCTAGCACATATACTAATTACTAAAATCCAGTGGCACGCCAATAAATATATTTTTGTCTACCTGACAAAAGAAATAGGTATTGATTTTATTCATTCACGTTGGACAGCTATTGTGTTGGCTGTTGTCATAGTTTTATTTGGCAATCAAAGGCCAGTGCCTCTGACTGAATAGTCAAGTATTACATGTTTTAAAAATTTTGGGGGACACAGTATTTGAAAATCACTGGTCTGTAATATAAATTGCCAATATGTTTTCCAAATTTGTCATTTGCCTTTTGATTTTCTTTCTGGTATACCTTTTGCCCTTATTGAAGTTTACATTTTTATGTTAAATTTATGAATTTTTTCTTATTAATCTTTTCCTCTTCATTTATTTTTGTTGTTTTGAATAGATAATACATTTGCCTGGTTAAAATATATATCCTAATTATGTATCTTCATATTTGAACTTATATACCCATCATATATAATTTTAACAGCTACCTAGTAGTCCTTTGTTACTTCTTTTTTTACATGAAATATGAGCAGATAGAAAAGATCTTATGGCTCCTTTTTGTTCTAACATCCTATGACTTTATAGCGAGAATAGGTATGAGGTAGGAAGAGGCAGACACTTAACAAAGAAGACTGCCTGGATAGCCAGGACTCAACCTTATCGCACAAACTACTATCTCTTATCCTGGACTACTCCCTCTCTTCACTCTGTGTAAGTTACTTATTATATATCTCTTTAAAGACTCTAGTCACATTCTCTCTGAACGTCTCTAGGTCATGCCAGGAACTGATGTGGCATTGGTTTCTGCCTGTCCTCTATCCCTTCCTAACATTGTCCTGCTCTCAGATCATTGTCAAATCACTGCAGTTGACAAAACAAACTTTCATTAAAGCTATTAAACAGTAAATTTTCTAAACAAACAAGCATAATAGTTTTGAAGCATCAAAATTATCTTCATTTGAAAAATAATTATTGAGAATGGATTGGGAGCTGAAAAACACATCTGAGATTGGGTAGAAAGTTTGAAGAAGCTTCCAGGCTCCATTTTTAATTCCTAGAAATTCAAAGTTTAATGTAGAACCTAATCCTTCCTTAAATCTTCACTCTTACAGGAATCTGATTGCCTTGCCCATGCTATTCTTTTCCTTATGGCGATTACTGGCACTTCTGTCCAAAGAAGAATCATTGGTTTATGCTTCTTCTATTTGCAAGCCTGTATTTTATGTTTCTATCTGTCTCACTCATAATAGACCAATCTCCAATTCAACAACAACAAGTACTATCTGATCCAGCTGTTAGAAGATGATGCTCAGAGGAACTTCAGTGTTTGGATGAGATGGGGCCGAGGTAATGACTTATGCATTTTTTGAGTTGTCATTCAGAAAGCCAGAAGCAACATAGTGAGTGGCCAAGGATCCTCTAAGCTTAAATTGGTGGGAGGGAGGCTCTGTAACTTGAGCGGGTTAAGAGTCAGATGGTGCTTTCTGTAATTAGGCAATGGCAGGCATTTTCTGTAGGAAGTTCTCATTGGAAAAACTACGAGCAGCCTTTTGGGAGACAGAACTCTCATAATGCTGTTTGTGAACTATGGCAGTTAGTAGAAGGCAACTAATAGCAACAAGATATATTCCCTAAGCCCTTTCACTTTTTCCTGTCCATTTGTTAGAAGTTAACCAGACTCTAGAGAACTGGCTTGTTACTATTAGATAACTCTTCTTGGGTTAGGTTACCAAACTTACATGTGGCATTTACTTTGCAGTTGGGAAAACGGGGCAGAACAACTTGGTGGCTTGTTCAGGGGACCTCAACAAGGCCAAGGAAATCTTTCAGAAGAAGTGAGTACAAAGAAATGAGTGTAAAAATATGCCTTCTTCTTCTTGGATGTATCTTCCTTAAGAATTTTATAAATGTGATTTGGCCTAAATGTTAAAGTCTTTCCACTATAAAACACTGTGATTAGGACACCAAACTGCATCCGTAGTTAGTGATTACATCACCTGGAACCTTGAAATAGACTTAAAATAGAAGATCTAATATAATTTAGTGCATGATCAACAATTTAGGAAATTTGGGAAAAGTGGTATGAGAATATATAGCTAGAATTTAAAAAATACTTTTTCTATGGATGGATGAAGAACTTTTCTGGAGTCTCTAAAAACGTTTCCTTCAGAGAAAGGGATTGGATAGGGATCTTTTTGTCTTAAACTTCCAATGGCTTGTGTGGTCTTCCGGAGGCTTTGGGAAGCCCAAAGATCCGTTTTCCCCATTTTTATTTATTTTTTTGTTCCCTTTATAGCCTGAACCTTACTGTTTATTCAAGGCTTTAATTTAGAAGCCAGATTTATGGAAAGTTGATGTGTAAAAGAGCTCTGTTGTGGGACATAAAGTTTAGATCCTTATTTGTAAGATTTTTCTCACCTCCTTGGATTCTACAGATTCCTTGACAAAACAAAAAACAATTGGGAGGATCGTGAGAAGTTTAAGAAGGTGCCTGGAAAATATGATATGGTACAGATGGACTATACCACCAATACTCAGGTAAACTGATTGCATGTTTAGGGGGAAAACTGTTTGCTCTTAACCAGGGTGAAGTCTAACAGAATGACTTAGATCAGGTCCTAGATCAGAATGGGCCAACGTGTCCTGAGTCTTGCTATTTCCTCCCAAAGGAAAGATTACAGTTCCCTCATGAGTTATCTTCACTCATCTTTGTAATCTTCAAGGGACTATAGAATGAGGATAAATGTGCTTTTTTCTAGTCTCTATTATTGACTAAGGTGCTACAAAATCTTAGGTCTTGTTTCCAAAAGTTGAATGTTACAAATCAAGAGAGGAGTAATTGCCGAAGCCGGTTTGGCTCAGTGGTAGAGCGTCGGTCTGCGGACTGAAGGGTCCCAGGTTCGATTCCGATCAAGGGCATGTACCTTGGTTGCGGGCACATCCCCGGTAGGGGGTGTGCAAGAGGCAGCTGGTCGATGACTCTCTCTCATTGATGTTTCTAGCTCTCTCTCTCTCTCCCTTCCTTTCTGTAAAAAAATCAATAAAATAGCCGAAACCGGTTTGGCTCAATGGATAGAGCGTCAGCTTGGGGACTAGGACCCGGGTTCGAATTCCGGTCAAGGGCATGTACCTTGGTTGCGGGCATATCCCCAGTAGGGGGTGTGCAAGAGGCAGCTGGTCGATGACTCTCTCTCATTGATGTTTCTAGCTCTCTATCTCTCTCCCTTCCTCTCTGTACAAAATCAATAAAATATATTAAAAAAAAAAAAAAAAAGAACCTTACCAAAAAAAAAAAATCAATAAAATATATTTAAAAAAAGAAAAAAGAGAGGAGTAATTAATAGTCAAATGGATAAAGCTACATTTATAGTTGTTTTCACTTCTGGTGTTGTTTGCATGGAAAATAATACAATAATTAATAAACAGTAATACAAGAATAAACTTTCATATATTCACTACCGTAAACCTACTTTTACCACCACCCCCACACACACACACCCCTATATACCACAGTACAAACAATTTAAGGAAACTGGAGTACAACCAAGTTGTTGAAAGCTGTCCTGGAGAAATCTTAGTCTTAAGATGAGAAGATTTAAAACAAAATAGCTGTCTTTCCACATTGAATGATATCATATTGTGTTTATTTGAGGCTCATTCTGAGTGTTTACCAATGGGAAGTATAGGACTAGAAGGCAGAAGTCATGCTGAGTACTCTTGAGTACCTAGGTAATAATGGTATGGGCCTGTGTTCAAATAGAGGCAGATGTTCACCTGCCAGGAATATTGTACAGCCAGTACTTGCTGAGAGCTTAAAATAGATTCTTTTGGATTTTATTATTTCTATTTTGGCTATAGAATGAAGAAGAAACAAAAAAAAAGGAATCTCTTAAATCCCCCTTGAAACCAGAGTCACAGCTAGATCTTCGTGTACAAGAGCTGATAAAGCTGATCTGTAATGTCCAGGCCATGGAAGAGATGATGATAGAAATGAAATATGATACCAAGAAAGCCCCACTGGGTAGGACTTCAGGTTCTATCCTACATTCTCTCTTCATATTTCCTAGTTCCTTTAATGGGATCTTTCATCACTATCATGATTGAAAACTTGCTGATATGAAGAAAAAGAGATTTGGGGCAAGGGGCTGTGTGGAGGGAGGAGGGTCTATTTTGGAAATTGAAAGGTGAGAGTCTGTGTTGGGCATAAATGTCGTTTACAGGATAGTTTGGAGTCTGATCTCTTTCTGGGTCTGCAGGGAAGCTGACAGTGGCACAAATCAAGGCAGGTTACCAGTCTCTTAAGAAGATTGAGGACTGTATTCGGGCTGGCCAGCAAGGACGAGCTCTCGTGGAAGCATGCAATGAATTCTACACCAGGATCCCACATGACTTTGGGTAAGGCCTGTGCTGTTACTTCAATTTGATCTTCTACTCAGTCTTTAATTTCTAAGGAAATGATCATCTTAAATAGGTACAAAGCCAAAATGATTTTTTTCTCTCTCTCTCCCTCCCTCAAGAGAAAAACCCCGTTTTCTTATATCTTTTTTTCTAAATGACCTATCTTTAGTCTGTTAATTTTTAGTCATGTGCCACAGATCAGAGACTTATTATGGGCTATATCTCTATCTTTAGACTCCGTACTCCTCCATTAATCCGGACAGAAAAAGAACTGTCAGACAAAATACAACTACTAGAGGTGAGAGATGTGTGGATTGGCAAATATTAAATCTCTTATCCCAGGCTCTTCCTATATTGATTCTCTATCTCATCTTGTCAGGCTTTGGGAGACATTGAAATTGCCATTAAGCTGGTCAAGACCGAGCTGCAAAGCCCAGAACATCCACTGGACCAACACTATAAAAAACTGCATTGTGCTTTGCACCCTTTAGACCATGAAAGTTATGAGTTCAAAGTAAGAAAAATGTTTATTTATGTTCATACCTTTAAAACTTACCCTTCCCTACCCACTGTTTTCTGGCTATGTCTGGTTAAGAGCAAACTTTTGTATAGGACAGAATTTCTGTTTACTAGAAATTTGAGACGGTAGAGCTCTTTCTGACTGCCTTGTGAGACCATTTGGGAGCAGAAAGGTCTGTCGATTTATACCAGAGGCTCTGAAGTTCTCAGCTTAGTCTGGTCTATTATAGATTCCACATTGGCTGTGTCTTTCATTCTTTTTCACAGATAATTTCCCAGTATCTTCAATCTACTCATGCTCCCACACACAGTGACTATACCATGACCTTGCTGGATGCTTTTGAAGTAGAGAAGGAGGGTGAGAAAGAAGCCTTCAAAGAGGACCTTCATAACAGGTCTCAGTTTAGCTTTGGGTTTGGGAAGATATTCCCTTGCCTGAAGTGCAGCTATGGAACTAAGGGAAGGATGGCACAGAGAGCTTAGAGCCTATGTTTGCGGAGAGCACCAGAGACAACAACAATAATGGCTTTTCCTTAGGATGCTGCTATGGCATGGTTCCAGGCTGAGTAACTGGGTAGGAATCCTGAGCCATGGGCTTCAGATTGCCCCACCCGAGGCTCCCATCACAGGTTACATGGTGAGTAGAAATTGAACCCTAGAAGGAGGCACAAGGTAAAGGGATACAATAATTTTTTCAGTCCTTGTCCTTTTTCCCCCTAGATCAGTGGTCGGCAAACTGCGGCTTGTGAGCCACGGTTTGCCGCTCTGTTGACTAATGAGTTTGCTGACCACTGCCCTAGATTATGATTAGTGGTGCCCTTTCCAAGGATTGAACCAGCTCACTTTTTTTTTTTTTTTTTTTAATTTTAGAGAGAGAGAGAGAGACATCGATCAGTTGCCTCCAATACAAGCCACAACTGGGGATCAAACCCACAACCTGGATATGTGCCCTGACTGGGAACTGAACCCGCCACCTTTTGGTGTATGAGATAACACTTCAACTGAGCCACACAGGCCAGGGCCATGCTCACCTTTTACTATGTCCCTCTTTTTTTAATTCCTAAATATATCCATCCTTTCCCCCCAGATGCAGAGATTCACCAATGCTAAGCTTGTCTGGAACATAACTATGAGGGGAAATGGGAAAAGGTCTCTATTGTGTTTAAGGTTATAGAAACACATGATTAATGATGTGAGCCTCCCTTTTAACACAATATGTTAAGCTGCTGACATTGGTGTTTATTTATATATTTCAGTTTGGAAAAGGAATCTACTTTGCTGACATGTCTTCCAAGAGTGCCAATTACTGCTTCGCCTCTCGCCTAAAGGATATTGGATTACTGCTCCTGTCAGAGGTAGTGCAAGAACACCTCTATGATCTCTAGTTTATTCTTCCTATTTTTCCAAAGAAAAGTTTGACCACTAGTGAACTTGAGTGGGAAGCCAAGTACAATTTTTTTTTCCTATATTTTATTGATTTTTTTTTTTTTTTTACAGAGAGGAAGAGAGAGGGATAGAGAGTTAGAAACATCGATGAGAGAGAATCATCAATCAGCTGCCTCCTGCACCACTCCCACTCGGGATGTGCCTGCAACCAAGGTACATGCCCTTGACCGGAATCGAACCCTGGACCCTTCCGTCCGCAGGCGGACACTCTATCCACTGAGCCAAATGGGTCTCGGCAGGAGCCAAGTACAGTTTTTATTGCATTCGATTCCTCTGCTATAAGGGAAGAAAGAACTGATGGGCTTTTCTGTTGGCTTCAGAGCCATCCGATCCTTGGAAGGGTGTGGGCGTTCAAAAATCTTTTGCTTTGCAGGTAGCTCTAGGTCAGTGTAATGAGCTACTGGAGGCCAACCCAGAGGCAGAAGGATTACTTCAGGACAAACACAGCACCAAAGGACTGGGCAAGATGGCTCCCAATTCTGCGAGCTTCGTCACCCTGTAAGTACTCAGAGCTTGGAGGACCAGAGAACTCCTTTTGGCTAGACAGGGCTATACTTTCTCTGTTTCAACTTCTGAACCAGAGGCAAATGTTGACATGCTTTCCTCTATTTGGCAGGAATGGGAGTACAGTGCCCTTAGGACCAGCACATGACACAGGAGTTCTGAATCCAGATGGTTATACCCTCAACTACAATGAATTTATTGTCTATAATCCCAACCAGGTCCGAATGCGATACCTTCTAAAGGTTAAATTTAATTTCCTGCAGCTGTGGTAACATTGATATTAAATAAACCAGAGAAGATATCTTCAAGCAAGGAAATAAACAATGTTGTACTTTTGAACTTTTTCTTATTTTATGTAATAAAAATAGTACAAATCTATCACTGACTTCTTTGGGCTTTACTTCTACAAGCACATATTTCTTCTGATGTTAGTGTATCTAAGGTGTGAATGAATTGGAACCCTCATATATTACATGAGAATGTAAGATGATGACATTGCTTTGAAGAATAGTTTGGCAGTTCCTCAGTTACCACATGACATACCAATTCTACTCCTAGGTATGTAACCAAGAAAACAAAAATGAATACACAGTGTTCCTTATGTCTATCCTTTGGGTGAGGGAGACCATGAGGCATGGGGAGAAATAAAGTCAAGTCCCTCAGGTGATTTCTCCATGTAAAATCTAGAATCAGGGTGAAATAAGAACAAAATATCTCACTCAAGTCCCCAAATCTCATGTCTAGACTAGAGTGCAGTTGTATTTTTCTGAAAGAACCCTATCAACCTAGGACAACACCCTGTAATAGCCTTGGCTTATCACATACAAGTACTTGAATTCTTGGACACACAAGACCCTTAACCCTTGTTTCACCCGTAGAAAGGGCCTCAGGTAACTTCTTCCATAGGACAGAATTACAAGAAAGTAAGAAGGTTCTAGAACTTTTACTTAAGAGGATCACAGTCTGGTAAGTCTGTAATTAAAAGCCTCCCCCTTTCAACTCATTTTAACCTTTGTGAACTTGAATTTGAAAAAGATACACTTTTGTGATCTCTTCCAAGAATGCAGATGATCCCAGCTGGTGGCTCTGGTTGAATGTCAACCTATGAACCAGGAGGTCACAGTTCGATTCCCAGTCAGGGCACATGCCCAGGTTGTGGGCTCAATCCCCAGTTGGGGCATACAGGAAGTGGCCAATCAATGATTCTCATCATTGATTTTTCTGTCTCCCTCTCCCTCTCTGAAATCAAAAATATAATTTTTTTTTTAAAAAAGAATGCAGATGATTATGCTGACTTATGCTTGCAAGCCACGTGGCTGCTGCTGTTCCGGCAGAGACTGTGAAAACCAGTAGACTGCTTTCAGTGCTCATCTGGGCAGTTAGTTCTGAGTACATGGGACTGTTTCTCTAAAATGAACCTAGTATTTTCCCACTTCTATCCCAGTTCCTTCTAAAGGGACTGAGGCTCTATCGACTTTTCCTTCCCTTATTTTTTCTTGACCAAGTGAGAGGTCTTCAGTTCAGTGCTGGCCAACATCACTTGCATTCCTCCTCCAGACAGAAGTGATATCTTGGGCTCCCCGGCCCAGCAAATGACACAAGAATTTTAAAGCCTCGTTTCAAAGAATATCTATCGATACTAAAGACCTGTCTCACTTTCTTGCAGTTCTAGTAAAACTTCATCTTAAATCAGAAAAGAAACATTATAACATCCATTTTCTTCCCAATTGGTCCAAATCCACATGAGAACTCAGGCAGGATTTCACTTGAAATTTCTTGATACTTTATTTTTATAATTTTTAAAATATATTTTATTGATTTTTTTACAGAGAGGAAGGGAGAGGGATAGAGAGTTAGAAATATCCATGTGAGAGAAACATTGATCAGCTGCCTCCTGCACACCCCCACTGGGGATGTGCCAGCAACCAAGGTACATGCCCTTGACCAGAATCGAACCCGGGACCCTTGAGTCCACAGGCCGATGCTCTATCCACTGAGCCAAACCAGTTTTGGCTATTTTTTTATATATATATAATTTTATCAAGAAAGTTTCTACCAGTGTCTTCAGGCTTGCACCTCTAGCACAGATGGTACCGCTGCCCTGAGTAATGCATCTTCATTCCCAGGACAGAAAGTATACATTGCCCTGTGTGTCTCCCACTGCGAGCTGCAGGGCAGAGTCAGGCCCCAGCCAAGGTTCCAGGCAGCTCACTGCCCCTTCGCACCGGAACAGGCCCAGCTACAATGAAAACAAAAAAGAGGGAGATGAGAACTCCAAGCCCAGGGCCTCCTTACTACCTTGTTCTTCTCTCATATTAGTGCTTTTTATTTAGAACACGTTAGTCCCGTATGGCAAGAAGGACAGAAGAAAATAGAATTTTGTTAAAAAGCTTAACAATAACCCACAACCTTCGGACCAACTAGAAAATAGAATTTTGATCTTTTGAACTTTCTTATCCCAAGTTTGCTTCCTTGTGACATTCTTTCAGCCCTCATTGCCCATATGCACACTTACCAGTTGCATGCTGGGTCTCTCCCACAGCTTAACATCTCTGTCCTTCGAAGCTGTCACCAGCAACTCAGGCAGCACATGGAGGGCTGTGACAGAGCCTGAGTGAATCTTAGAGAGGAAGGGCAAATGTACGGTGAGTTCTCGTGGGCCCTCCTTAGTCGAGAAAGTGTCAGGATCAGACCTACAGCCTCATCCCTGTATTTGTAACCCTTCCCTCAAACTCACCTTTTTACACTGCCGTGTCTTTAGACTTGGGGTTGTTGGCCAGCTCTCCATGTCACTACTCTCAGATGAGTCTATTTCTGTAGTTTGACTTTCAGGCGTTTGTACTGTTTCCTGCCAGATGTTACCTGTGGTCCATTCTCCTTCAAAGGTGCATTTGGCTAGGTTCCACAGCATCCCATCGGAGCTGGCACACAAATAGGAGGACTCTGCCATTCCAAGGGCAGCATTAGAGCCAGGTCTCAGTCTTTAAAGGGTCCACCATGTTCCCAGAGGCCACCTCTAGATTCCTTGGGTCCTCCCCTCACCACTCACCAGATTCAGGTTTGGCCTGAGTTACTGATATTAGGGTCCCATTGGGATTCTTTAAGTTCAGATCAAAGTCCAGGCGCTCTTCAAACTCTCCAGACTCCTTTTGCCTCTGTGAAAGGACATGTCATTTTGTTTAGCCTACTTGTATCATTTAACCTGGCCCAGACAAAAAGCATCTGTTTTCTCTTCTGGGCTTGTCAGGATTTTTTTTTCTTTCTTTTTTTTTTTTTTCTTCAGAGAGGAAGGGAGAGGAAGCGAGAGATAGAAACATCAATGATGAGAGAGAATCATTGACTGGCTGTCTCCTGCACGCCCCCTACTGGGGTTCAAGCCCACAACCTGGGCATGTGCTTTTGGCTAGAATCAAACCTGGGAACTTCAGTCACCAGGCTAATGCTCTATCCACTGAGCAAAACCAGCTAGGGCTAGTCAGGATTTTTTTCAAACTGTAACCCAGATATAGTAAAATGCATAAATCTTAACTGTGCATCTTGATGAATTTTTGCACATCCATGCAATCATTGTCCAGATCAAAACATAGAACATTTCCATCATGTTGGAAAGCTGCCTTCATGCCTCTTCCCAGTCAATACCAGAGACCTCTACCCTGGGAGCTAACAATATTCTGACTTCTCTCACTATAAATTAATTTTACTTGTACTTTTAAAAATATATTTTATTGATATTTTACAGAGAGGAAGGGAGAGGGATAGAGAGCTAGAAACATTGATGAGAGAGAAACATCGATCAGCTGCCTCCTGCACACCTCCTACTGGAGATGTGCCCACAACCAAGGTACATGCCCTTGACTGGAATCAAACCTGGGACCTTTTCAGTCTGCAGGCTGACGCTCTATCCACTGAGACAAACTGGTTAGGGCAATTTTGCTTGTTCTTAAGCTTCATTTAAGTGAAATCATGTAATACGTACTCTTTTGTGTCTGGCTTCTTTCACTCAAAATAATACCTCTGAGATATGTCTGCATCATTCCAGATACTAATATAGTTGTAAAAGACAACAAATGCAATTAAGAAGACACCTAGATTTATGGTTTACCATGATTTTCTTAAACACTAGAATTTTTATTATTATTATTCAATGAAATCTTAGAGGGAAAGTCAATATACAATGTGTTTAAGTATAGCTGCTCCAGTTGAAGAAGAGAAGGAGATTTGGAACCAACCACCTTTCCTTTTCTCTTATCCTCCATCATGGCCCCAAGGTTTTAAAATATTGGTTCTGGACAAATCTTTATTTTAACACACACCCATACAGGACTTACTAAGACAGAAAGACTTCCAGGGGCCGTTGGCTGCAGGGCAAACACACCATAGTCCTGGTGGGTGGAGAGCATCATAGGATGTTCTGAGTAGTCGTGCCTGGTTTACAAGGAAGAAAGAGGCTGAGCCCAGGAACACCTGACGATAAGACCCCAGCACTTGTCCTCAGTCAGACCCAACCTCAGGGTAACCATAAACCCCTTTTCCCTCTTTCTCCAGCCTGAGAGGAAACTACATTTTGGATCTTACCAGATTTCAGAGGGAGCTTCCCCTGGCTTCAAGTGCAATAACTTCATATCCGCCGTAGCCAAGATGAGGGAGTGGCCATCAGGGGCCAGGCCCACACCTGTCAGGAACCCTAAGTTCTCCTGCAGAACTCGGTTCAGGCGGAGACTGTAGCTCAAACAGGCACAGGGGAAGAGAAAGAGCCTACGTTAGTCCACCTCTCGGAGACTCCTCAGTGAAGTAGAAAACAAAATGTATTCTCTTCCCTACAAATTCCATCCCTCATTGTGTTTTTATTGTGTCAGTGTTCATCATCACCATCTCCTTACTTGCGCAAACTAGGAATCTCTAACATTCTTGCCTTTTCCTTCCCTCCTGACCTCCAAGGGATCAGTAAGCACTGTGGATCCTACTTGTAGCACATGCCTACATCTGGATCTCTCCTTCTCACCCCCACTGTCCCTGGTCAAGACCCACATTATGTCTTCCCTGACTATAGCAACTGCTGTAACAGTGGTCTCCCTACCTTTAGCATCTCTCTGCTACTATCCATCCTCCTTACTGCCACCAGAGTTATCTTTCTAAAAATCCAGATAATTATCCAGATAGGGACTTTTTTCTGCCTAATAACCAGCATCCTATTGACCTACTTCAAAATTCTTACCACCTCTATGGCCCGGCCCGTTTATCTCCTCAATCTAAAATCCTACCCCGACCTCCC